CTGGGCATCACCATACTGTATGTAATGACTATCGTGGAAAACGGAAACACTTGCCAGGGATATCGGAGTTGCCTTCCGCCTGAGCTGCAGGAACACGCCGTAATGTCATGTGACCTCTTTACAGCCATTAAGAAGCTTCCGCCCTGACTGAGCATGTGGGCATGTTTTATCTTGGCTGTGAGGTCAGTGTTACTGTGATGTTAATGAGTCTGACCCCAGGTTTCCCGCTTTACCCCACAAGCCCCTCCGGCTTCCCTCACTTACCTTCTCACGCACAGATGCTCCATGGCCCACGAGGTCAGTTGATCAAAACAGCTCAGGTTCCCAGACACGCTATTAATAGGTCCGAGTTTAATTAAGAAGAGCAGTGTTCTTCCAAGATTTTTCGCCAAGAACTACATTAATGCCAGACTTCCATCATAATGAAGAGCTATCAGCGTGCAGCCAGTGACTCAGTAGACATCACTGCTGTATCGTGAAGCGTCTTACGGCTGAGGAATTAAGTGCTGACCAAAGCACTGGGCCTTGGTGTTACAGTCTGGGCCGTGACAGTTATATTCTGTAGTAATTTAGGGCAGTATATTCCTGATGTGTGTTTTTAAGTGAATAGTGCTTGTTTACCAGTAACTGAAGTCTTCCCCTAGAAGGAGGTATGGGTTACCGTCCTGGTTAACAGAAAGTGGGAAGCAAAATAGCAGTAACTTTATCCACCTGTATATCATGAGAATCAGTATTAGTTTAAAGTTGCTCTTGATAATCATAATAAAGTGCTGTGTTTGTTTTAATATTTATAAGATAATATTCTTTAATGTTTATTTTTAGGAATCGGCAATAGTACAGTATAGCCCAAGGGCAGAGCTGCTGTTATATAAGGAGGGAGTTGGGTAGGTTTTTATCTCTGTGTTCCGTTGGCCTTTGGATGCGCAGAGCTTTGCAGTGACGGCACCAACAGGACTGCAGTTAGGGTTTGGTTTTGTTTTGTTATTTTTGATGTACGTCTTTGTAGTAACACTTTACTAGAGGGGCAGAAATGCGTAGTAGTAATTCATGATATGATAGCTATTTAAGATAAAAGATGCGTCATGATTGATTAATCGTGAACAAACGTGAGATCAGTGTTTCACTTGTGTTATTCATTACTTTTTCCTCCAGTAATTCCTTCAGTAGTTCACAATGATTTGCAGATACAGTATAGTAACAAATATAGTAACTGCTTGGGGTAAAAGATGTGTCACAATTCATTGATGATGACTAAACATGAGATAAGTATTTTATATGTTATTCACTATTTGTTCCTTCAATAGTTCACAAAGGTTTACAGAATTAACAGATATAGTAAGAAATATAGTATTTGCTTGATAAATGATGTCACTATTCATTAATGATGAATGAACATGAGATCAGATGATGAGATGTAACTAAGACTTAGTTTGAGCTTAATTAACACGTACACAATAGCATAATATCACTGTAATTGTGCCCCCTCAAGCATAAAGTGTTAACATTTTTGTTAGAGGTTTGGTTATACAAAGTTTTTTTCACTTATTCTTTTGTACTTTGTGTTTAATAATTTGAAAATGGTGCAGTGGGAAAAAATAAATCACCTTGAGTAAGACCTGACCTCAGACTTCCTGCTTCTCCACCTGAAACTCTGGGTCCCATATTAACACAAAGCATCACAGCTGACATCCTTTAAATTTAAGATGCAGAAACGTGTTTTTCCCTATTTTATTTTAATCCATGTAGCCTGCCTCTTTGCACAGGTCTCAGTCAGATGGCACTGAAAGGCTACAGAGTTAACTAAGACTTGGTTCAATGATTGTTCATCTCAGCTCGTGGGTGAGATGAGTGTTTTGGGGGGGTCAGGTGGGGGTCACATGCCATCCACAACATCTGGTGGTCCTCCATCCAGGCCGGGTTACATCATCCAGGGAAGCTCCTCCTCTTCCATCACTGTGCTGGAGGTACTGTAGGCTGGGCTGAGGAGAGCAATCATTCATGAAGCGCAGCTGACTGATATATTTCTCGTTAAAAATAATGATCAGTTATGAAGGCTGCTGTATCCTAATTGCTAATCTGGTCTTAAAGATGCAGGAGTTTTTGTCTTTTGGAGTCAAGCTCAAGGCTTCAGGTTTGGCCTAGAAGGCAGCGAACAGCTTGGGAGCTCATTATCTTCAGGACATCATCAGCCCCCACGAAGACACCAGACTGCCCCCCTCCCCAACAGCTGGCCAGTTAATAGCCCCCGTCACCCAGCACTGCCCTTCCAAAGCTGCTTTATTTCCTTCCTCTATTACTACCATCACCGCAAAAGTAGGTTGAGACAGGAGCAGTGACCGGATCAGTGGGCTAAGCCTCTGTGCCTGTGATCGGAAGGTTGTTGGTTCAAGCCCTGGCCTTGATGGATCAGTCACATGTCCATAGGCCTTCGAGCGGGGCCATTAACCCCTGGCTATAAAGACTGTGATGGGGTATGCAAAGAGAAGAATCCCAGTGGCCCTCTACTTGTACAAATGGTAAATAAAGGGTTTGTCATTATAACACCAGTCTGCTGGGACTGGTGAATCATTTCTCCTGATGAAAACACATGCAGAATGTTCACCTCTCCTGGCTCTGGTCTGTTTTTGAACCAGAATTGGCTGCTCTGAGTACGACTGCTGATCTTTTTCTGTTTAGTAGATCCTTTCATCCAAGGGGAGGTACCTTTGAGAAGGCAGAGTCAGACAGTCCGCAGCCCCCTAATCCGCCCCCATGCTCACCCCCGTTTATGTTCTGCTCTGGCCCCTGCTTGGAGAATTAAATGCAGTGTAATGTACTGTAACCTGCAGACATCTGCCTTTCTGTTACACTTAGTGGGGCTGAACTTATTAAAGTGGGATGGAGTAAAGCAGAAGCCTGACTAGTCAAAATGCAACTGGCCTGGCTTATATGCAGAAATGAAGGATAACCTTGGAAACGACACAGAATAAAGAGGCTGAACATGTACTAACAAAGATGTACTGATACTGACACTCAGATTTTGCTGTAGTTACTTCTGTGATCACACAGTCAAAGTCTAGCATTTGCTTCAGAGAAATATCCTGTGGTTTAACCCAAACTCTATCCATAGCTCTCCGATGAAGATTGTTCCCTGGGAACCGTAACGTCTGGACCCTCAGTCCCACAAAGCTGCTTAGCACTTTGCATTGTGTTTGGTGTAAGATATGCAAACTGAACATTTCAGCCACTGACTGGCATAATACACAGACTTCAAAGCTTAGTAGGTTTTGTGTACCACGCTTTTTCAAATCCCACTTTTATTTTCAACTTATGGTTCATTCACTCCTTTGTTTCTGGTGGATATTTTGGTCTTTTTAAGTGTAAATTTAATTCCTTACTGGTTGACAGTCTGAAAAAGCATGTTGCATAACTTAATGTGTGTTGCTTATGAAAGCGACTATTGGCTCTGAGCTGAGAAGAGCATGAAGAACTTCCTGTTTCATCTTAATTACAATCCTTGCTCCTTTCAACGTGTCGATGTTATTGGCAAATGTGAAACACGTCATAATTTTCACTGAACATGAGCATTCATGTCAAATTCAGTCCGGTTGTATTCATATCCTGGAGTCATGAATCTCATGTTGGGTCTGGCAACCCAGTACACCTTCCGTACGTGTTAAAAATGTGCAACATTGAAATAGCATTTGTGTGTGTGTGTGTGTGTGTGTGAGAGAGAGAGAGAGGGGTGGGGTTTATAACCCATTTTTGTTGACTACATTTGTGCTTTTGTTCACCTTGATTTCTGGCAGTCACCAGTCAGGCTTTACCGCTCTCTGCGAGCTACATCTACAGTTTAATGAGTGTTTGCGGCACCAAAGGACAGCCATTCTGTTAATCAGCAGCCTCATAATCCTCCCATTTCACTATAAGACGTTTTAAATCAATGTTTAAAGCTCTCCCTTGAGCAACCAGGCTGTCAGTGGTGACACTTCTGTTTAAAATCGCATCAAAGTTACTGCTCATTATCAAACCACGAGGAATGCCGTCATTTACGCTTCCCATAAAAGGACAGAAAAGACACAAATATGGTTTCTTAATGGCTGTATTTGTCCCCCTTTGGATGGAACCTGTGTTTTATGGCATGAAGCTGCAGTATCTGACTGTATTTCTCCCTGAAGTGTGCAGGTGAAAAATCCACGGTGAGCAGCGTACAGTAATGGCCTCATAATGGAGGCGTCTCTGGAAGTAAATCACACGGCGTCGGCTTAATTATTCACTTTTGTTTCAGTGTTATTTTCCTTGCCCAAAGAATCTGATTTGCACCATCACATTGCTGCAGTCTGTCCTTCTTTCTGACCTTTACTGGAACATTGCTTACCTTTGAGCGAAATATTTCAAAATTACACAAAATACATATTTTCTATTTATTGTCTTTATATGACTTTTCCTTTATATGATGTTCCAGTGAATATGATGCTTAGCGTCTTTTTTTGAATTTCAAAATGTCCTTGTTATCGAGTCTGAGGAAAACACACATATTTACTTAAACTATTTTTTACCAAGAGCTGGAGTATTTCGCTTGCTGAAATCTCATCATTATTCCAGCAAGTCTACCTGGGATTAATTCTGATCCATAATGACTATCTGATAAGGTCTTATTTTGTCAGCATTTAATTTCAGATGGGAACAGGGCCCAAAATCATTTTAAATGTGAAAATTAGTAAAGAACTGGGTTTCAAACCCAGTGGAATGGCACACAAGAGGTGTTAGAAGATTATTTATCCACGTGACAGTCAAAATATAGCTTTAAATTAACGATGTCTATTTAATTGCGTCATTTAATTTGTTTGCTTGTTTTGCTGGTAACCATTAACATTCTGCCGGGTGAGTCATTGACATTGATTGGTGAAGGTAACAAGGTTTCATGGTTTCAATTTTAAGAATACATTTTATCTGAACAATCTACATGGAAACAGTTTAGATTTCATTTTTGCCACCATGTCTTCTTGTGCCAAAAACAGGGCCCCCCACCAGGACATCGTACCCCAAGCAGGAATCAGAGGAGCACAAGGACGGGAAGCTTCCAGCCAAGGGCAGCGAGAGCGGCGCCTCCTTGAACGAATTGTCCACCTCCAGCTCCGAGACGCACTCAGAGATCACCTCCCCCCAGGAGGACCCGGCGGACGGCGGTGTGCTGGCCCCCGGCCACGGCCTCCAGCTGGCCTCCCGGCAGCCGAGCACTCTCACCCTGGGCCGGCCCTCCAAGAAAGGCTCCGTGCAGTGGATGCAGCTCCCCGACAAGCGACGCAACAGCGAGCTCTTCCAGTCGCTGGTGGGAAACGGCAGCCCGCGAGAAGGAGGCCTCAACCGGCGGAAGCTCACCGAGAAGCTGAGCAGCGAGGAGGAGATGAAGCAGTGCATCCAGGACTTCCACAATATCAAAATCCCATGTGAGTTCCCCGAGCGTAAGCGCCAGTGGCAGTCGGAACTTCTCCAGAAGTATGGCCTATAGACCCTAACCCTCTGTCGTTGCTGTGGTCGTTGTGATGGTTTTTATCCAGTGAACAGCGGGGTATTCCATAAAAGAGGATTTCTTGCTTGGATAACTTCTTGGATTTAAGGTAGTCTGGGCTAAATGGACTTTATTTTCATTCCCTTACAACATCCAGCTAAGCAAGAAATCCTGCTTTGTGAAACAGCCCCCAGTTTAAATCAGGACACCCTACTACTCTGGTCCACTTCATCAGCTGTCACTGTATTAAAAATTAATTGATGCTTTATTGGCATAAGTAACCTGGATTTTTTTTTGTTTGTTTCCACATACTTGTTTTCGCAGTTGAGAGTAAAGCTTGGAGCCAAATCACAGGGTTATCCATTTATACGGTGTCCCTGGAGTATTTCAGGGGTTAGGGGCCTTGCTCAAGGGTCCAACAGACAGGTGACTATTTACCACCAACAGGATTTGAACCAGCAACCTTCTGATCACAGGCACAGAGGCTTAGCCTGCTGAGACACACACCACTCTGGCTTGAGGGCTGCTTCTGTCTGAAACTTCATCACAGTCAGATGTTTGTATTCAAGACCTGACTAATCATTTTACCACTAAGTTGTAGACCCGAAACAGAAACTAAGTATCAGTAACTGTGTGCAATTTTTGAAGGGCATGTTTCAAACAATGGTATACTGGATGTAAAATCTTTTGCATGAACAATGTCAGAAGACCGTAGCGATAAACCACAATAATGTGTTATGGTGGCAGAATGAACAGAAAGAACAAGTGTGTATAAAAAATGTGTTTACATTGTTAGGTCAAGACGTTTGTTTGGGACGGGAAGTGTGCAGGTAAATTGCGTAAATAATCCAATTAAAATTTATTTCTGGATGCCCAAGAGCAGTGTTTCCCAATCCTGTCCTCGGGGACGCACAGACTTTGTCCAAGTTTTTGCTCCCTCTCAGCTCCCAGTAGGAGAAATTTATTTATTTACTATTTAAAGGAACAATTTCATTTATTAATTAATTTCAGCAAAAATGTGGACTGTCTGGCAGGGAGCTGGGAGCTGGGAGGGAGCAAAAATGTGGATTGGCTGGGAGGGAGCAAAAATGTGGACTGACTGTGGGTCCCTGAGGACCGGATTGGGAAACAGTTCCCTGAAGTGCAAAGAAAATGCTTTGATTGTTCAAATATGTACTGAAGTGATAAACATTCATTTTACTTATATGTCTAAATTGCCATGTTCTGTCTTATTTAATCATCTACTGTTCCAATTTGACAGACTTGTTTTTTGTGTGATGTAATCAGTGTGTTATGGACCATGTAATACAACAGTGTCCTATTCTGAAGTGTTTTGCAATTGTGTTGCCTGTTAAAAATGCCAGTTTATATTAAACCATGATGACTAGTATGAAGCCATTCCGGTGTGACTGATGATTGAGCAATGGGATTTGTCTTATAACTGGTAATGATGCCTAATAATCTCTGGTAAAGGAAAGAATCTTGAAGCAAATGTAGTCCTCTGAATGTTTAAAATCATTTAGAAAAATTGGTGAAGTACAATATAGTTTATTGAGCCCCGAGGAGAAACTTAGGCTTGTAAAAAAAAAAAAGCTTCTCCAAAAAGATTATTTTCTTGTGGATTTATTTTTTACTTTCTTGTGGATTTCTTATTGCTTTTTAAAAAATTTAATTAACCATAAAGATGAAATCTCTCCCTGTTGACATAAAAGGCAAAATTCCAGCAAACATTCACACCCTATTGCAGAGATGATGGACTGATTTCTTGCATACTTATTAGCTAACTTTCAGTTCAGAAGTATCTCACAACAAAAGCCACCGACACTGTAAAATCCTCATACTGGGAATGAAATGGCTTTGTGTAGAGTTTGAGGGTGAAAACATCCCAAGCACAGCCAGTGAGAGACACTGCAAATGTTTGTGTCATGTCCTTAAACATAGGCTTCAGTCTGGGAAAGTGGAGAGTCCATTAAAACTGAACGAGCCAGACAGAAAGCTCTACAATTCTGTTCCACAATAAGCCATTTTCAAGTATTTTCGGTCGTACACTTCAGTACAATTACTAGTGACAGTAGAGAGGACCAAGGACTTGAGTAGAATAAGCATTTTGAACTAGGTAGAACCCTAACATTTTAAAGGAAATAGCATTTTTCTCTTTCTGTCATGACAATAATTGTCTACAAGGGATGATCATGAAGTATTTCCATGTTGTTTATTCAAGCAAAGTTTGCTGGTGAAAAGTGAACAAGTTATATTCTTCGTTTGGCCGCAGTGGTGATTGCAGTCATCATTGTGATCACATTTAGTAATCAGTTTGCCTGAATGTAATCCCATTTATGGCTAAAGGCACTTCCATAATTTGCCCGTAGCATTTTCCATTTAACGTTTCTGAGAGTGTCAGTCAACCTTATGTTTTGTTTTACGAAACAGGAGGATATCTGTTTCACAAATATTTGCAGTGAGAAGACTGATGTATATCCGCTGTTACAGTATATCTCTGATTTTCTGTTGAGCCTCATGAAGTAATCATCACAAACAGATGCACTCGTTTGTTCTGCAGCTTGCAGCTGGCTGACACAGGTACTTGATCTTATGCCCAACAATTTTCTGCCTTCCTGCTACACTAACACTGAACACCTTAACACTGTACAGAGTGACATTAACTTTCTGAAGCCACTTCAGTCAGGCCCATCTCCAGTTACATTTTAGTAAATCTTATTATTAGTTTAGTTTGACAATTGCTGCAGAATGTTTTTCCACTTTGTCTGCCATTCGTCAAAAAATGAATTTTGTTTCCGTCCATCTGTCCAGTTTCTGAAACCGCTTGTGCTATTCAGGAATTTGTCTAAATCAGCACGTAATCACAGGTGATCTGTCCATCCATCCAAATTATCACTCTTTCATTTAATGGCATTACTTCAGAGATTATGTAATTTTAAAACGACGTTTGCACACACGTAATTAAAGTCCCTTATCTGAAGGAAGCGCCTGTATTGTTTCCAGATAAATGTAGATATTGAAACTTTAATTAAATGTGAAGCATTTGGTGTGTTCAAAACCTTTTCTCCTCAACAAAGCATCTGATAATATAAAGGATTTGAGAACAACAAATGAATGAGTCCCAGCAAAACGTATGTTTTTGTTTCTTGGACTCATGGTTTGACTCAGACAGCATATTGTAAATTTTTTGAATTGCAGATCTACCATAAACAGCCTTGAAACGGCCAACCTGTGTTCATAATAAGAATTATTTAAAGAAAAAGGGCATCTTATTGTAATAGGGATGTATGGAACGTACTTCATGCAAATCTCTAGTGTGATTTAAACTGATCACTTCATCTTGTACAGCTAAGTTTCTTTAAGTTACAGCCGCACATCTTTTAAAGGAGGTAACATTTATGGGATCATGATATTTGCCGTAAAAGTTGGCTTCAGAAGCTATCAAAACTTTAACGTGATGAGTTGCAGTTTATTCATGTTTTTATCTGTATTCTAGTTTCGAGACCAAGTCATGCATGGAAAAATGAACTTTACTGGGAATATAAAAGCATAGCTGCTGGATCCCCATTGTTTTCATTTCTAGTGCAAATAGAACTTCGAGGCCATGCGACAGGAGATGCACTGAGCTTGTGAGAATTAAGAAACATCTCGTATTTGTATTGTGTTAATCTGTCAGTTGACAGTGTAATTTGATTCCATGAAATAAATATGATTCATCCACGAAACGGTCATTCTTCTGTATTCTCTCTAATGATGTTTAATGTATCACAACACATCCATGTAAAGCACCTTGGGACGACTCTGTTGTGAAAGGCGTTAAATAAAAATTAATTGAATTCTGCTGGTTCACAGGTGGGTTCTTATTTTAGCGAAGAAGTAAAATCTCCGCTGACATTAGCTAGCTTGCACACAGCAGTACGACACGAACGCTCTCTATGTTTCCCCATAGCAACCATGCTGAAAACATGTGAGAGGAATAAAAAAGAGCCTGTCGGGATTTAACTTCTATACCTGTATGTGACCAGTTCAGCTATCACTATAAGCCTAGCAGAGACATTCAGCTGCACATAATATTTAGAACTTATTTAAGGTCTCAAGAACAAAATTCATATATAAACTTTACACTGTACGCATACCTGTGCCAAAAATGTTAGTGAGGAAATGTACGCTAATCAGGGCTAACGCGACGGGTCTGCTGCCACCTGCTGGCGCTAATGGAAACAGCATGACTCTGTCGCAGCCCCACAAAGCGGCAGACAGCTTGAGCCCTCTCGCCGTGACAGTTCTGGCCTGCGGTGCTGCATGTGAAACTGTCACACTGCAGGCGATCAAACTGTGTGCGATATCTCAGGGCCTGCTAGATAAAGAGTGTGTATCAACAGCAGAACAAAAGAAGAACCAGAAACTAGTTTTATATTTATACGGTAGCTGTATAATTTATAGGTTTTTATAGATGTTACAGTATATATACAGTAAACATCATGAGTATAATATATAAACAGAATATTTATATATATATACACACATGCAGTTCTGGAAAAAGAGCAGTGGCAGTGAGCAGTGAAAGAGACCCCAGCACAATTGTTGGGCTTCATGGGTCTTCAGTCCTGCTAGTAGGAGCTCAGATACAACCTGCCCTGCACTTCACGCCACTAAATGCTTCCCTGAGGTCATCCTCTGATTTATGAGGCTCTGCCGGAGAAGTGGATGGCCATCCCTGGCATTAAAAAGTCGCTTCCGCCCTTTACCTGGCTGGTTTATGGTCTTTCCCAGTGTCTCCTGCTTCGCCTTGTTCTTGTGCACTGCTGTGTTACAAATTTTGAACCTGGAAGCAACCATGCTGCTCAGCTCAGCCTTCTGCCAGCAGACCCGGGACTAAATCAGGACTAAAAAAAATGCAGATTTTGCACACACACACACACACACACACACACACACATGTTGAGGATCAGTCTGGAGGAGGAGGTATCTGACCACCTGGCACCAATCTGACAGGAAGCCCGGGATCCAGCTGCACAGAGAGCTGTCCAGGCTGAGAGCTCCACAGGAAGTTCTGTACCGTGTCCTCTCTTGCTCTCCCTGTACACCCACCAGTGCGTGGCCACAGACAGCTCCAACATCACTGCGAAGTTTGCGGATGACAAGATGGTGGCGACAACGGCAACAAGACCACAAACAGAGAGGAGGTCAGAGTGCTGACACATTGGTACCAAGAAACCTGCCCTCAGCATCACCGATACCAAGGAGCTGATAGTGGTCTTCAGGCAGCGGGGAGGAGTACAAACCCCCATCTCCACCAAAGGGACCTCCATGAGAGGGAGCTACTGCCCCCTGCAGGCGAACTTCACCAGGCGGTGCTGAAGGAAAGCTGTGAAAATCACCAGGGAGTCCAGCCACCTCAGGCTCACCCTGCTACCGCCCCCTGCAGGCCACCAACGGCAGGTGGTGCTGAAGGAAAGCTGCGAAGATCATTAGGGACCCCAGTCTCACTCGGCTCACCCTGCTACCGCCCCCTGCAGGCCACCAACGGCAGGTGGTGCTGAAGGAAAGCTGCGAATATCACCAGGGACCCCAGCCACCTCAGGCTCACCCTGCTACCGCCCCCTGCAGGCCACCAATGGCAGGTGGTGCTGAAGGAAAGCTGCAAAGATCATTAGGGACCCCAGCCTCGCTCGGCTCACCCTGCAACTGCCCCCTGCAGGCCTCCAACGGCAGGTGGTGCTGAAGGAAAGCTGCGAAAATCATCAGGGACCCCAGCCTCACTCGGCTCACCCTGGTACCGCCCCCTGCAGGCCACCAACGGCAGGTGGTGCTGAAGGAAATATGCGAAGATCATCAGGGACCCCAGCCTCACTCGGCTCACCCTGGTACCGCCCCCTGCAGGCCACCAATGGCAGGTGGTGCTGAAGGAAAGCTGCGAAGATCATCAGGGACCCCAGCCTCGCTCGGCTCACCCTGCTACCGCCCCCTGCAGGTCACCAACGGCAGGTGGTGCTGAAGGAAAG